TTTTATGTTCCCTTTGAAAAATCGAGGAGATCAAAGCATTCAGAAATTTCATCCATGAATAAAATTAAGATCGTGTAAGTCTGTATTGAAAGAGCTTTAGTAACAAGAAGGGAATCTCTAGTCATTAAAAAAATTGAAAACGTGTTTTGCAAAACTAGCTCACGTGGAACGAGTTCCAGTAATTCCTACCTGTGGTTTCTTGTGGCAAACCGTGATTTTAATAAGCCCAAGACCTTGTGTAAAACCAAGAATAAGTGATATAACCAACCATCTCCCCCCACTGATGAGGGCTACATGTACCTAATAAACATGCCAGCATTAATAATTTCCAAAGGGTTGTTATCCACAACTCAAGCCATGCAATTAAAAACGGCTCTTCAAAGGACTGTAATTCAGCATTCTTTCCATTTTTTTTCTGATAGAGGGGTTGGTCTTGAAAATTGATTTTTTCTGAAGATCTGACAAAAACACTCAATAGGGATGTGTGGATATAAAAAAAAATAAATGTGCAAATTTAATGCAAAGTTTTTACTTTTTACTCGGGGTTCCTGTGGAACCCAGAGTTTAAATTTCGGGCTTCTTATTTTTTTTCATTGTCGCTTATCAGTCACAAATTGTCCACGGGTAGCCCAAGCTCATAATTATTCTAAAAATGCTATTTAGAGACCAAATTAGCGAAATATTATTATTGTCCTCGATAGAACATCTAAATGAAAGTATTATTGCGAAATTTTGAGCCAAAATAATGCTTTTTAACAGAAATACGAGCAAACGAAAATTGGTAAGAGTGTATGGGATTATCACGGCTCAATGCGTTTTAGACAGGTCAAGAAATAACTACAAAAGGCTGTGTTTTAAGATCTAAATGAATTTTTCATGTTCATGGCCAAAAACAGCATATAATTCCCAACAATTATGCAAAGTTTGAAGTCAAACTGCGATTTTTTAGCAAAAATATAAGCGTTTGAATATGGTCTTACTTTACAAGGGAATGTATGGG